GGTGGCAATTTAAAGGGCCTGGGCTCCCAGCAGTGGCTGGAGCCCCAGGCCCTTTAAATTGCTGCCAGAGCCCTGCTGCTGGAGCCCTGGGGTAGCAGCAGCAGGGCTCCGGGGGTTATTTAAAGGGCCGGGGCTCCCGCTGCCTCTACAGCCCTAGCCCTTTAAATAGCTGTCAGAGCCCCGCCACCGCTACCCCAGGGCTCCAGGGGCTATTTAAAGGGCCGGGGCGGTAGAAGCAGGGGAGTCCTGGGCCCTTTAAATAGCCGCCAGAGCCCTGCTGCCGGAGCCCTGGGGTAGCAGCAGCAGCTGGGGGCTCCAGCAGCGGTTTAAAGGGCCCGGGGCAGTAGCGGCAGCTGAGCCCTGGGCCCTTTAAACTGCTGCCGGAGCCCCCAGCTGCCGCTGCTACCCCGGCGGGGGAGGGGGAAGGCACTTACCGGTACAGGGTGGGCCGGGGCTGGCTCTGACCCCCCATCTCCGCCCCTTCCGCCCGAGGCCAGAGCTGGCCCCAACCCAGCCCCGTACCAGTAAGTCCCTATTTTTACTTTCACCCCCGACGTGATTTTTTCTGCCAACCAAAAATGACAAAAATGCTGCAATTCTCTTCCTTGTTAATTGCAAATGCTTACCAGTATGAAGACTCAAAGAAGTGCACGGAAAGAATCAGCACCATAGCACATACCCAATTGTGTGAACTGCTGAAATTCTTAGGAAATATTTCTACAATTTATGTTAAATACCCACCTACCATTAAACATACATTACATTATAGTGCAAGTGACTTGTACTCACACACAACATTTTATCTGGTCTTGACTTACATGGTCAGCAAAGCTCGCAGAAGATCATCAGCCAATGGCAATCTGAAGGACTTGCAAATAGTCCTGCATTTCTCATGGGGCAGCAACCCACATCTGCACAAATATAAAATGAAGTGAAAAAATGTCCTTCATGTTGTCTATCTTCACAGGTTTAACAACATGGAAGCAAAATGTATATTTCAAATATAAAACTTGTTGGAAATCTAAAGGTAAAAAGGAAAATCGTATTTCACAAAACTCCACTTTTGCATAATAGGAAAAACATCGACACTTTACACACAAATACTTCAGGGGAAGAGGGCTAAGTCACATGTATGGACTTTCACAGGTGGAAGGTATACGTTTACAGATTTCTAATTCTAAATCTACGATCCCACAAAACCAGAAGGACAAACAATTTATGTAAGTGATTATTTTGAATTCAATAAAAATCCCAGATTTTTTATTTTTTGTTAAATGTCTATTTTTCCTCCTATATTAAAAAAAATGTTTTTCTATGGTGGCAGGGCCAGGAACATAACTATTTCACAGGCTACTCAATACATTTGAAATGATGGAGACTCCATCAGCAAATCAGAAAGAAAAAAAGAGGACAGAGAAGCAGTCTAGTTCTCATCCATCCTCAAGTGGCTCCTACCAGAAACCAGATCCTTTGAATGCATTCATGATATGCTAGGCAAGAGAGAGACAGAACCTGGGTCTCCAAATAGAATTTTATCAAATCGTGAACCAGACTAAAAAAAAAAAAAAAAGTCAATTATTAGCTTGAATTAAATACAGAAATCTTACTTTTCACGGTCATTGTATACAAAGGTAGCAGACAGTTGTCCGAAATTCTCAACGCTATTTTTCTTTAGCTGTTCTTGAGCCACAGCAAGAAGGAAATTGATGTCCATTTCAAACTCATTTTGCTCGCTGTAATGACGTCCAATAGTCATAATTTCATGTTCTGACAATTTTCCACCAGTGATATTCACCATCAAATTTCTGTTAGCAAGAAACAAATAAATTAAATAGAAAAATAAAGCAAAACAGTCAATTAAAAGCTGAGTATTCAATGTAATTAAGAGTTCTGTGAAATTAGGTGATGTACTATATACTCAACTTGTGATGCTGATATTAAGTCCATACAGTTTAACATGAACTCAACACTACTCAAGAAACTGTTTTAGAAATTACATAAATTTTTTCTTCCTACCGTTTCTGCAGAATACCTAGCACAATGCTGGTACTATACAAATCTTTGTAATCTCTGAAATACCTTTCCACAGCCTTGTCTTATTGGAGTCATACTGAAGATAGGATTTATTGCATCACTGTCTATGTCCAACTACTATACATGATCTTACTTTATCTTATCAATTATAAACTACCTTCTACCCTACTTGATCAGATATTTGTAGAACTATGAGCTAGCAACGCAACCGGACTTATGTCACATACGCAGAAAATACATAAAATAGGGAAACAGGCCAGGATACTGCCAAAAGGACAGAGTGATAGAGCTAGCCATGCAAATGGGGCAGAGGGGTGAAGTTCCACTCCCCAGCACAGAGGAAGTGCTGTGAAAGCTGGCCCCAACCCAGGAGCGCTGACTGGCAGAGGGATGAAAAAACAAGGAGCTGGGCAGAGAGATGTCAGGAGCATGGTTCATGGCTAAACCTTGCACTGTTCTCTGATAATGTAGCCCTTAATAGGCAACAATTAATTCATAGCACAAATACATACTGCCATGTAGCGGGGTGATTACCCTGCTCCTGCCCTGAAGGGCTTACAATACCCCTGGGAGAAGGTTGTGGCTGGAAGCTGCTAAACTGGGCTGACTGGGAAGTGGCTGCAGCTGGGCCACACCCCAATCAGGCCACAGCTGGCCTGTATAAAGAGGCTGTGAGCCAGGAGCCCAAAAAGTCTCCCTCTGCTTGTTGAGGGAGAAGGGCCCGGCTGCTTAGAAGCTAGGAAAGGTACCTAGAGTGGAGCAGGGCTGGGGAAAGGCGAGAGGAGCTGGGGAGCTCCAGCCTAGAGAACCCCCCAGGCTGCAGGCCTTGATAAAGGCCAGGACAGGTACGGGGGCTACAGAGGGGTAGCCAGGGGTGGGCAAAGGCAGCAGGTCCAAACTCCCCCCTTTGCCAGTGATGAATGGTGTGTACACTGCAGTCTGCCCCAGTGAGCGAGGGCTAGATGGTGACTAGCAGTAGCCATATTCTGAGGCGAAGTGGGGATAGTGGGTGAGGGTTGCCTTGGGAGGAGGAGACCCAGAATTGTGGGGGTACTGCCAGGGGGCAGCACCCCAGCTAACAGGGCACCAGAGTCCACGGAGGGACACGGGGGCCAAGCGGTAGTGGATCACTGGCCTGCAGAGGGTGCTCTGGGCTGGAAATCGAGCTAATTCCCTGAGAGACCAGCAGGAGGCACAGCGGGGTGAGTCCTCTCGGCTATATGCGCCCCCCACCACACACACACAACTCTACCACAAATGTAATGATTTTTGTATCTGTTTCTTTTAAATTGATTCGCTTTTTGGGGAGCCAGCCCAAATAAAAGTGTCAATCCAGGGCCTATAAAGTCTAAATTCTCAGAGCTATTCACTAAAGGATACTGAACACAACGTACTATCTGCTTTGATTCAGCTGATTCGCTGTGAGCTGGACTTGTACTAAGTAACACAGAAAGACCCTTTATGTACAATGACTGGAGATGACTATCAGGAGAGGACAAGGTGTACAGGGCTCCAGATAAATCTTATTTCCAGACACAGGCAAACTGAGCATTTGCATTTTAAATGAGTGCATGAAATACAACACTATACCAAAGCTTGGTCCTGCCCTTGTTATTATGTGTTTTACGGTAACGCTCAGAGGCCCCAATCAAAATTAAAGCCCTTTGTGCTGGGCACTATATTACCACCATAGAAGACTATCCACACCCCAAACGGCTTACAACTAAGACCCGGATCCTTTAAAAGCATATGCATAACCTTACACATATGAGTAGTCACACTGACTTCAGTGGGTCTTTTCACATGCACAACTTTACAACCACGGTTAAGTCTTTGCAGGATTAGGATCTAAATAAGTCCGTCCATATGTTTTCTCAACTCAGACAATGACAATAAAAGCACCAAAGATTTCCTCCGATTTCTCTTTTGGGATTTAAGGGACTTCCTAGGGTTACTATGATCTGAAGAGTGCTGAAGACCCAAAATTCCAACTCAGAATTTTATTGACTTCTCCTGCCAGGAAACAATGTCAAGTAACACAAATCTTCCCTATGCAGTATAGTTGTAGTTGTGTGGGTCCCAGGAAATTAGAGAGACAAGGTAGGTGAAGTAGCATCTTTTATTAGATCAAATTCTATTGGTGACAGGGACAAGCTTTCAAGCCACACAGAGCTCTGTGTGGCTCAAAAGCTTGTCTCTCCCACCAAACAGAAGTTGGTCCAATAAAAGATGTTACCTCACCCACCTTGTCTCATAATTTTTCCCTGTAACTTAGTTTTCTTTTCTTTTAATTTTTTTATTCTATAAGAATGAAGCAGATTGCAATCGGAGATTAGGAGGGGCAGAGAAGAAATTATAATTAACTGCTCAAGAAAACTTTCACAAGATAAATGAAAGAGCAGCATCTTCATTAAACCCATGTGATTCTGCTATCTCTCTCACTGTGAATGGCCCTGCATATCACCTTCTGAAAACCAGAGGTCAGGACAGGACTAAGACTGGGTGTTTAAGTTTCCAGACTGGTCTTTGCTCTAAGAATATAAGAATGGCCATACTGGGTCAGGTCAAAGGTCCATCCAGCCCAATATCCTGTCTGCTGACAGTGGCTAATGCCAGGTGTCCCAGAGGAAGTGATGCTAACAGGTAATGATCAAGTGATCTCTCTCCTGCCATCCATCTCCACCCTCTGACAAAAAGAGGCTAGGGACACCATTCTTTACCCATCCTGGCTAATAGCCATTAATGGACTTAACTTCCATGAATTTATCTAGTTCTCTTTTAAACACTGTTATAGTCCTAACCTTCACAACCTCCTCAGGCAAGGAGTTCCACAGGTTGACTGTGCTCTGTGTGAAGAAGAAGAACTTTCTTTTATTTGTTTTAAACCTGCTGCCCATTAACTTTATTTGGTGGCCCCTAGTTCTTATATTATGGGAACAAGTAAATAACTTTTCCTTATTCACTTTTTCCACAGCACTCATGATTTTATATACCTCTATCATATCCCCCTTAGTCTCCTTTTTTCCAAGCTGAAAAGTCCTAGCCTTTTTAATCACTCCTCATATGGCACCCATTCCAAACCCCTAATAATTTTAGTTGCCCTTCTCTGAACCTCTTCTAATACCAGTATATCTTTTTTGAGATGAGGAGACCACATCCATATGCAGTATTCAAGATGTGGGCGTACCATGGATTTATATAAGGGCAATAAGATATTCTTCGTCTTATTCTCTATCCCTTTTTTAATGATTCCGAACATCCTGTTTGCTTTTTTGACTGCCACTGCGCACTGCATGGATGTCTTCAGAGAACTATCCACGATGACTCCAAGATCTCTTTCCTGATTAGTTGTAGCTAAATTAGCCCCCATCATATTGTATGTATAGTTGGGGTTATTTTTTCCAATGCGCATTTACTTTACATTTATCCACATTAAATTTCATTTGCCGTTTTGTTGCCCAATCACTTAGTTTTGTGAGAAGTTTTTCACAGTCTGCTTTGGTCTTAACTATCTTGAACAGTTTAGTATTGTCTGCAAACTTTGCCACCTCACTGTTTACCCCTTTCTCCAGATCATTTATGAATAAGTTGAATAGAATTGGTCCGAGGACTGACCCTTGGGGAACACCACTAGTTACTCCTCTCCATTCTGAAAATTTACCATTTATTCCTAACCAGTTCTCAATCCGTGAAAGAATCTTCCCTCTTATCCCATGACAACTTAATTTACATAAGAGCCTTTGGTGAGGGACCTTGTCAAAGGCTTTCTGGAAATCTAAACACACTATGTCCACTGGATCCCCCTTATCCACATGTTTGTTGACCCCTTCAAAGAACTCTAATAGATTAGTAAGACATGATTTCCCTTTACAGAAACCATGTTGACTTTTGCCCAACAATTGATGTTCTTTTATGTGTCTGACAATTTTATTCTTTACTATTGTTTCAACTAATTTGCCCGGTACTGAATTTAGACTTACC